TATAAATTGATAATGTATAAACTGATAATGTATAAATTGATATTGTATATTTCTTGTAACATTTTATCTTTCTAACTCAGTTATTACTTTTTACTTTTGACACATATACCTTGGGCTGCAGCATTACCAATAGAATATTATTACATTTCCATCCATTTAACTACCACTATCAGTATAAGTAGGCACACATTCTTTTTACCATTTTTTATAACTCCCTAAAATTGAAAATGTTCGCCGCCCTTCCGCACTCAAAGTTACAGGAATGAATGATACGAAGACCATTTGTTTCTTTAAAAATTTTAAGCCGGTCCCAGCATGCAGCTTTTGGCTTTGTGTCACCAGGCTCGGTATTCGGTAAGTATAACGATCCATAATGATACTGGAAACTTCTGGGGTTTACAAGCTATCATTATGCATCATTAATTATAAAAGCATGAAGACCTTATAGTCTTCCGTAAGAGCTGCAATCACCTTGCAGGTTGCATGTCTAGGTTTTTTCTTCCATGTCGAGGCGGAAAAGGTGCAGGAGATCACCTTCTCCACGATGGCATCTGATACAATACAATACAATATAACGTTGAAAACGGGGATCAAGGTATTAAAGGGTAATTTATGCCAGTCTTATGGCTAGGAAGCAGTTTCCAGACTGAATTTGGAAATATAAATTTTTGGTTCACTGTTTTTAAGTTAAAACGCGAGGCTAGATTTCGAGTTAAGATTGCACTCTCTACGGAGGACACGGTTTTCGAAGTATTTAACCTGTCCACCCCTATAAATAATCGATCGTGCTAAATCACTCTAAACGACTACACTGGAACTTCGAAATTTATCTAAAAGTTGGAACAACCTTAAATGCATTTCTTTTGAATGTTGATTACGATCAGTCACCCCACAGCCCACATGACACTAGCGTTCAAATGCTTCCCTGAAGAAAAACTGTTTTGATCACGTGATACAGCCATATAAGAAAGTATACCACATCTTCATTTAGGGAACGTGTTAATCTTAGTCACGTGATAGTCCAGATTAAAGTGATTCATTATCCACATTAATTTGTGAAGACCAATGCAATCCAGTGTCTGATGATTGAAGATTGACCAATGAATTGGTGAAATGGATTGCATGGTCTTGACCAATTCATTCACCAATCATTCATGACATTGACCAATGCAATCCAGTGTCCAATGCAAACGAACAGTCTTCAATCAATGACACTGGATTCAATGCAATCATTCATTTCCTCTTGTTCCGGACTGGGACAGCCACTTCATCAAAATGATATCCAGGTATGTGCACATGCAGGTATGTGGGGTATGTACATTTTAACTGCTGACCCAAACTTTACAAACTTCTCAGTAAAAAAATACTATTCCCCCGAAGTATTGTTGAGACAGGCCTGGCTGTGTGATGTCTTTATACCATACAAGGTGTGGTTCCTTAGTTCACCCTTATTGATTGCTCTTATACTTGCTCTCTGTGTGGTTGTTGTTGTGTGTGTGTGTGTGTGTGTGTGTGTGTGTGTGTGTGTGTGTGTGTGTGTGTGTGTGTGTGTGTGTGTGTGTGTGTGTGTGTGTGTGTGTGTGTGTGTGTGTGTGTGTGTGTGTGTGTGTGTGTGTGTGTGTGTGTGTGTGTGTGTGTGTGTGTGTGTGTGTGTGTGTGTGTGTGTGTGTGTGTGTGTGTGTGTGTGTGTGTGTGTGTGTGTGTGTGTGTGTGTGTGTGTGTGTGTGTGTGTGTGTGTGTGTGTGTGTGTGTGTGTGTGTGTGTGTGTGTGTGTGTGTGTGTGTGTGTGTGTGTGTGTGTGTGTGTGTGTGTGTGTGTGTGTGTGTGTGTGTGTGTGTGTGTGTGTGTGTGTGTGTGTGTGTGTGTGTGTGTGTGTGTGTGTGCTGTATTCATGCCTAAGTGAAATTCTAACGTTATATTGATATCAATATTCCACAATTTATCAAGCCTACAGTCATATCCTAAATCATTCATCTTGTTTAAGCCTACAAATTAAACATTAAGTACCGTCGAAACCTACAATTTTGCAATTATATATATCTGCAATCAGACCTCCTCTTGAAAAAGGTAATACAATTTAGTCGTTGTAGATCTGTGCTAAGATATCAATAAAATGACTACAGATTTAAAAACAGGATAGATTTCACAAATTCTAAATTTAAAATCGGAGCACAGCTTTGATAAGTGAACATAGCGTTGATAAATGATATCGATTATAAGACAGGTTGTGTTCTATTAAACCCATTGACCTCATTACAATATTTGTGTAATCAGAATTCAGAGTCCTTAGTCGTAAAACTATTTACAGCTCAGCCACTTTATTATCAAGCCGTTTAGGCGATATGTATGATCCATTTAACATGCAGTAATTATCTCCTTTCTGTAAACTTCTAGTACACTGTGCCTTATGAAGTTGGCATGGTAATCTGTCGATGGTTTAGATTAGACATGTATTAAGCTATTTTAAAATAAAATACGACACTATTTCTAATGCATGATATCCTACAAATTTAAATAAAAACCCTTTGCAAACGAAACAAAACACAACAATTTTATTTAAAATTAGACGAGAACTAAACTATTGTTTTTAAATTAATTTCAAGTAATATAGTAACTGGCATGGTGCTGGTTATTACATTACATGCTAATGGTAACTTTGGATTGCACAGTGAACACGTACTCATTATAACACCGAACACCTGACTACCAGAACACGAACTCTCGTTTACTGATCGTTCGAAATAGAAGCACATAAAAATTATAATGAACAATTGAGATGACGGACTTATGACACAAGCTCCACTTAAACCACGATGACTGTAGAGTGGAGGGGACCTAACAATTTAAGGCAGTGGCCAGGGATCAGAATGAGATTTATTGTCGAAGCTACAGCAAACATAACAGCTCATATTACATTGCTCTTATTGTATAACAAAAAAGTTAGCTTCACGTGCCACGCCGCCAACTACCATGACTATAAATGATATTAATAAAAAAAGATTAATCAATGAATGTAATGTGCTCTTTATTTCACAGCTGCAGTGGCCCTGAGACTAATCGCACAAGAGTTTTACTTGTATAAATACCTCGTTCTACTTGCTGGACACATACAGCAGGTATCTGTATATGTTTCAAGAACAGTCATAGATTAAATCTAATTCAGGGTAATCCTAGAGCTACGGCTAACTGTAGGTTCGTATGAACTTTTTACTACGGATTACGGAACTTTTATTAAGCATTATAAGAACCTTCAATTTCTTGCAAAAGTATTATACTGACCGAAAAATTATGATAACACCAGGGTTAACCGGGTCACGCACATAACAAACGGTTTCTAACTATAAATGAATTGAAGTGCAAGGTCGCCCTATTCCACAATGTGTGAAAATGTATGGTATAAGATCATAATAGTTACATGTACAATAGGGTCACCCAGTACAAAGCTAACGGGTTACTGGGGACCTGAGTAAAATCTGATCGAGTGTTGCACCACGCTCCCAGAGAGGTCATTTTATTGACAAAATAAAGTCATTTTCGTTGTGTTGATTATGACCAAACAAATTGAGCAAAACATTTAACATTTGGAATACCTCATTGCAATGTCATAAAAACTCGGCGGTAAAAATTAACGGAATCGGTCGACACATCTTCGATATCTTTATTAAATTTTAAGTGAAAGGCATATTTAAATTTTGCTCCCAGATATAGAACTCATAGTCATAAATCGGACAAATTTACCATGTAAGGTACAAGGTAGGCTTATGAGATTGAGATTTCTAAAACGTGCGAGAAAGTGTTTCAAATGAGAAAGTGCCAGGTGACTGCAAAATGACTGCCAGGTGACTACCGAATGACTGCCAGGTCAATGTAAAATGACTGCTAGGTGAATGCAAAATGACTACTAGGTGACTGCAGAATGATTCACCGAGGAATGGTGGGTATATGGTATTTTAATGACTATTCAAATAATTTAAGAGTTTCGGGCCAAACTCCGCGACTAGAACCAGAAAATTAGACTTTAAAGTATGCAATTGAAAACAACAATGGTTTCAATATCCAATTCAATTTAAATGCTTCCGTAGACTTTAGACCTCACCGTCACGGTGTCAACTCAATATATAAATTTAATGTATAAATTTAATATTTATTTGGAAACCAAAAATAGCTCACACTGCGCTGTATACATCCAAAATTAGTGCCGGCTTAAATCTAAAATGTTAACCAGTTAACAGGTTTTAGTTCACAATACATTGCTACATCTGGATAGAAATACAATGAACTTGAAACAAACCACAACTTAATAACAACAACAATATCATATATAAAGATATAAGCGGAACCAACTTCCACGCACTGTAATCCTGACAGGCACAGTTAAACAGGCTGCGCAACTCTGAGACACGAGCACACAACGTGACAGCTTACCTCTATAAAGCGTAGAAAGTCGGTCAGTTTCTGTGGAGTAGTTATGTGTTCCATATTCTCTCTCTCTCTCTCTCTCTCTCTCTGGCGTGTCTATCTAATAATCAGTCTGGAGAACCAGCGAGATTACGTTTAAGCTACTAACAAACCCGTCCCCCGGTTTGACGTAATATTTAGCTAAAACTGAAAGGTCGTTCAGCTCGAGTCGTTTGTTAAAGTTTAAGAAGCTGACAATGCAATCTAATAAAACAGTGCAATGTCTTAGCAGGTAGCAGGTAGCACTCACAGGCAGTCGTTTAGTCACGTGATGTACTTGTAGTCAGGACTCACGAGACGTCGACCCCCTGGTCTGGTAGGTTATTAGCAGGTAATATGATGCGTGGGCATGTAATATTGGTGCGGCAACCAGGTATTGATTTCGGACAAGGGAGAGTTGCTTCTTGGATCAGAGGTTATAATGTGGAGTCAAAAAGGTCGTAAAATATGGCTTACTTACAATTGGATTTCGCAGATTGGTATTTTTATTACTGACGTCTCTTTCAGTCAATCACTCTTTAAAACAATATAGACAGTGGCATGAAGAATTCCGAACAAGAGTGTTCGGTTCAAAAATCAATTAATTAGAAAATGTAATACAATTTGTAAGAAATTATAAATATAAACACTGGGATCAACAGCTTGTCGTTTAACTCTTGATAAAATAGTTTTACAACAGTACAGTTTCCTTGTCAAAACAAAGCGTCACACAATTAAAAACGCACGCTACATTCACTTCAATTTGATAAAAATAAAAAAGCAGAATAAAAACCCCGGGCAGCTACTGAATTCAATAAGTTTCGATTAAACAAGAAAAAAAAAACAATGTTAACCATGTAAGATGTGCCATGTTTAGTACCCTTCCCATATCCATCCCATCAACCATTAAACTCGGGTCAGAACTCAGAAACCGGATAAAAATCCGATCAAAAGATCTAAATAGATACAACTTAGTTTAAGCTATGGCGGGAAAAATAATAGACGATAGTTAAATCAAAAACTGTGAAACAACTGGTCATGTCCTGAATAAATTAAAAATAATGTTTTGATAATTGAGGTTCAAGCTCTCTTTCATGTTCCTGTTCACAACGTCCTGAACAACCAACAGGACTCGAAATTATAATTCCAAATGGGGTCCATCTCCCACTCCTCACTCTTCAAGACTCTAGAGTGTGATAGTGACAGAAAATAGAGTCCTTGATGAGCTCCTTACTGTGTTTCCTCTTCTCACAATCCCTCTCCAAACAGAGATTAACAAAAGCAGCCAGATGTGGAGGAGTCTCCCCAGGTAGAGGCATCTTCAGGGTGTCCCGGTAGATGTGGTACTGGGCTGTCTCGGAGTCCAGCTCTCCCCAGGGGGTGTCTCCTCGTATCATCTCAAACATGGCTATACCTAGAGACCACACGTCCACCTTCCGTCCCGCTTTTCCTGAAGTGTTACACTGTTACACTGTTACACTGTTACACTGCTACACTGTTACATTGTTACACTGTTCACGGTTACATTGTTACATTGTTACACTGTTACACTGTAACACTGTTACACTGTTACTAGTAACACAGTGCTGCACTGTAAGGTTACACGTGTGTTATGCTGGCAACTTGGAAGTGGCAGTAGCAATAAAATGTTCAATCAGTACCACTGATACTGTTTAATCAGTGCGATGATTTATAACTCATAAGTTAACTTTACTAAGGCTAAGAAAGGGAAATAGCAATGTACGGTGTACCTCTCCCTTCGATGAGCTCAGGAGCCCTCCAATGAGGATTCCCGACTTGGCTGCTGAACAGTGAGCAGTGCGTGTCTGTGAACGACTTCGAGATACCGAAGTCTGCTATTTTTATCACGTTTGCTCTGCTTATCAAGATGTTCTTTGATCGTAAATCCCTGAAGTAATTAAAGTGTTGAGTAAGAGTTAGGGTAAAATACTAATAATTGATAATATCATTTATAATCCGGAGGAATTTATTATTATTAAATCAAAGTTCTAAACAAGGGATAGTTAAAAAACAACGCCCAAGTCTAATCTTTCCCTAAAACAATAATTAAATATCAAAAACTTCATTGTAATTTCTGCCAATATCTCTTGTCATAAGCTAAATTACGGAGATAATACAGATCAAAAATATTATTCATATAAAAATGTTTACATAAATCATGCATAATCAGCGAGAATAGATTGCTTTAGCTTTCTGCTTTGGGGTCTTCCTCTTCTCCCTGGTAAGTCCAGTGTATTGATGGCAAAAATGGGAATTTGTATCTAAAAAATGTATTCTTGGTTAAAAAATTACGATTGGAGTTACATTGTTATCTTATGATACGAGTGAAGGAAATTTTTTTTTTCTTTTAATTTTTTTTTGAGTGAAGGAAACTTGTATTCTTATTTTCTACCGAAAGCTTCTTTTTTGCCATACGGTTCATTCCTATTTTGAATAGAATACTACGACAGAGCTGTTAAGATAAGTATTTTTGCACTTCTATCCAAAACCATAACATATGCCTAGAGACTTCTTCATGATCTGGAACTTACGGCACTTGGCTTGTCGATGAACGGTTTTAAAACGGAGTTTATACCAACATTAATCCCGATGAAGCTAACATCCGTGCTGATGTGCATAAAACGGAAGATCCTTGGAGCAGGTACAGGCCTTTACATACCTTGGATCCTACATTGCTGACAGCAGTATAAAGTAACACCAAAAAGGTATGGCATGGTCAGCATGTATGAAGCTTCAAAAAGTGTGGACGTCTGGTATCTCGGATCGTGCTAAAGTTAAGTGTTTCAAAGCGTGCATCTAGCCTGTTCTTCGGCATTCATCAGAGAGTTGGACACTAAACATAAAATGAGAAAAACGTTTAAATGGCTGCTACACGAAACTCCTCATCAAAAACTTACATTAAAAGAAACATCCAAACCTTCGTCAAATCTATGGCATGGTGACCTTCCTCAGTTCCTCCCATTACCTCCGTCCTAGCCCAACGAAGAGCTCGCTTTGAGAGTCACTGTAAGAGGGCCGAATCTCGGGCCATATCAACAGTCCTGCTTTGTCGCCTGCTTGGGCAGAAAAAACCTTAACCTGGTAACCTTGTTGCCTGCACAAGAGCAATTCTAACTGCACATGTTGTATGCACAGTAAACTTTTCTCAAGGCATGGGCGCCTCCCGCAAGTTGGCCGCTGTAGAAAGCCTCTAACATACTTAGAACTTAGAGATACAGAAGTTGATATTGGTGATCTACGGTTTACTATACTCGATCGTGCTGTTTGGAAGAAACTTTTTGAGGAAATTTCGATGGATAGGTCATTATAGGAGGACCGCCACAAGAAAGTAAGTAAGATAAGTGTGAGTAGAACTATTGATATAATATTTATGTTAGCCTTGATTCAATTTAGTTAGCTTTGATTCAATTTAGTTAGCTTGATTTACTTTAGTTTCTTCTAAATAAAAATAGCAGGAATTTAATTTCGGAAGTTAAAATTGTAAATTCAGATCTTGACATCTCTAAGTCTAACACATGTGTTCGTGTCTGCAGACACCATCGTCACATCTAATGGTGCCACTAGGACAGTCACCGTCATCATCTCCACCATCATCATCTCCACAATCGTTGCAAGTCCTTCTGCAGTACTCTATGAGGTCCGCATACTCGCAGTGGATTGCTGAGCAGTATTGAGACGCATCCTGACAGTCTGGGTCGGCTGTTGGGACTGGCTTGTCGTCTTCAGAGGGTATGTAAGAGGTAGCATCGTCGGCGGGAGCTGTGTCTGACTTTCCAGTCCTCTTCAGGACGGGGTAGCTGCTGTACTTGAAGAGACCACAGTTGTGGTAGTTCCTGGCGTACTTGACGAACCCTTGGTCTCCCCAGGCATTTCCCCAGGAGTTCTTTACGAGAACGAATTTCTCTGTGTAACCGACAGCAGTGACAGCGTGGTTGGGTCGTCCTGAGCAGGTGGTGTCCTTGATGATACCACCGGAGTACTGTTGGAAGTAGTTGGTTACCTCAAAAGCTACAGACAGTGACCCAGAAGCAAGAGCATTAATATTAGCAGCCTCTGTACCCCCAACATTTTTGTATCCTGTGATTTTGTACGCTACCAGAGCGTTCGGCTTGCTACTTCCTAGACACCTTCCGTCTTTCTGTGCGTATTTGTAGTCAGCGGAGGAAGCCAGGCGTCCACCGTTCTTCGAGGAGTAATCGTAACCATCATCTGGCCATCCCCCGTTGCATCCGTCTCTGCCAGCATTCTCATAAGTACAGTCAAGGTACTCCTGTTCGGCAAAGTCCCTCAGAGTTCCTGAGAGTTGCTTGTATCTAGTCTCCAGTCCTCCAACTGCTCCGAATGTCCAGCATGATCCACATCCTCCTTGGTTCTTGACTTCCGTAACTGAACCCTCGTTCGTCCACAGTTTCTTTGCGGGAGCTTTGAGCAGAGGTGAAGAGAGGAGAACGTCGTTTTCTTTGTGTCCAGTGACGTTGAGTCCGAGATACTGTCTCTTCTCATCACCAGTCATAGCAGAGAAGAAGTTCAGAGCGAAGACTGCATCTCCTTCTTGTTCGTTGGCGTCAGCTACAAACTCAGCGTTAGATCGGAACATTCTGAATCTCATCCTATCTCACCAGATCCAAAGGCAAGGTGTTCCTTTGCTTTGTAGTTGGAGTATAGCTTGAGGGTCTCCTTCGGTGATCGGAGGATGCTTCTCAGGTTCTCAGCAGCGACGTAGCTGGCCAGCAGGCAGATTGCTAGGAAGAACTTCATCTTGGATTTGGAATGGATTCTAAGGGAGGCTGAAACTGTTTTTATAGTGTCGATTTTCGAATTAGCACAATTTTGTAAAATGCCGCATTGTTTTTGTTTCCAGCCGCTAAATTGATTTGTAGCATTGTTGCACAGCTGTTTCTCCTTTGAAAGTTTCAAGAAGGTTCCAACACGTGACAGTGATTGTTTGACTAACGAGTTTAGACCCTCACTTTAACTCTTTTTCTAGATCTCTTGACGAATCTCGCAACTATGGGGTACTAGAATCTTAAAAGTACCTGATTTTCATGTTTCTTGGTCCTGGAGGCTTTTAATTTCGGAAAATGAAATAATTCGAGATAGGTATTAGCATTTTGTAAACAAATTCCGCCATCTTCTAAATACTTAGTCTTCTCTCAGTCAAAGATAATAAATGATTTTAAAACTCTCTATTTTAATATTGATCGTTCCAGTGACCGAGTATGCCAAGAAGGCTTTCATATGGACAGTCTTGGAGCACACCCTACTTATTGATAATGAAAGTCCTGTCAGTTTAGCCTCCTGCTATTAATTTGACATGTCAAACAGCCTCAAAGGTAAGCAAAGTCACCAAGCTGATTTAAAATAACGTGATGTTGGTTTTCACAAAAAATGTCGATGATTGTTAATCTCAAAAGTATTGGAGATAATAGAGCTTGATGGAGAAAACATCTTCGCTTAGAATATATTGATTTATAACCCACTGTCTTTTATGTAGATGTTAACATTACTAGCAGAAACCCGTCTAACACTAAAGTGGTGTCAAGATAAAATAATATTTATCAATTTATTTATTTTGTGATTTTGACACCACTTGAGGGTCCAAATTTCGGGACCTAAGGTTCTTATTCCTTGGCCAATTTTTTATTTCTTCGCACTGGTAAAAAAGCAATAAAAGCATTCGACCCAACCAAAAATGCTCTGATTGTCACCATTTCAGTAGGAATTTAAGAACTTTCTTCTCCATAACTAGTAATGGCACCCGTTAAATCCTACCATAAAGCACAATGTAACTAGTTTAAATACAGTTTTTCCTGTGTGGAATCAAATAATCTACCTCACGTGCACTCTCGACTACCTCTCCCGCTAAACGTTTGAAGTCAAACTGTACAACAAGATTAAACACCTGGTTCTCTAAACACTTGACAACACAAATTGTTTAACTTGTCAAATATTAAAGAGTGCCTGTAAAATCACATTAGCAGGCTCGCGAGTAGGGAAAACACCTCCGTGTTAAACTGGTTTTAAGGACGATGTTTGTAAAGATGACGCTTCAACTTTGAACAATCATCCTATCTGAGAACTATAAGACTTGTTAATTGACTTAGACAGTTCACAGGATGAATTTTAAAAGATAGCGGACATAACACGCTACCTACTGCGAAAAGATCAAAAACAATGCGACATTTTACATTGTTTACAAAATTGGGCTAATTTAGCAGCTAAATAACAGACTATAAAAACAGTGTCAGCATCCCTTAGAATCCATTCCAAATCCAAGATGAAGTTCTTCCTAGCAATCTGCCTGCTGGCCAGCTACGTCGCTGCTGAGAACCTGAGAAGCATCCTCCGATCACCGAAGGAGACCCTCAAGCTATACTCCAACTACAAAGCAAAGGAACACCTTGCCTTTGGATCTGGTGAAGATAGGATGAGATTCAGAATGTTCCGATCTAACGCTGAGTTTGTAGCTGACGCCAACGAACAAGAGGGTTCCGCCGTCTTCGCTCTGAACTTCTTCTCTGCTATGACTGGTGATGAAAAGAAACAGTATCTCGGACTCAACATCACCGGACACCAAGCTAACAGCATACCTGGCCCCCTTTCCTCATCTGATCTCCAGGCTGATCCCCCCGCAAAGAAACTCTGGACTAACGAAGACGCTGTTACCCCCGTGAAGAACCAAGGAAGCTGCGGATCCTGCTGGACATTCGGAGCAGTTGGAGGGCTGGAGAGCAGGTACAAAGCACTCTCTGGAACACTGAGGAACTTTGCAGAACAGGAGTACCTTGACTGTGTGTATGAGGGCTTCAGAGACGGATGTAACGGAGGGTGGCCAGATGACTGCTACACGTACTCCCAAAACAACGGAGGACGACTTGCTGCCACCAAGGACTACTGGTACGGACCTGTCGACGTCAAATGTGAAGCTGACAACAAGCCTAATGCTCTGATTGCTTACAAAATAACAGGATACGAAAGTCTAAGAATGGGTGAGAGATATAACATCGCAGCTCTTGCTTCTGGGTCACTGGCTGTAGCTTTTGAGGTAACCAACTACTTCCAACAGTACTCCAGTGGTATCATCAAGGACACCACCTGCACAGGACGACCCAACCACGCTGTAACTGCTGTCGGTTACACAGAGAACTTTGTTCTTGTAAAGAACTCCTGGGGAAGTGCCTGGGGAGACCATGGGTTCGTTAAGTTCGCCAGGAACCACGATAACTGCGGTCTGTTTGATTACAGCACCTACCCCATCCTCAAATCAACTGGTAACCAGGACTCAAACGCTGACGAGGCCACTACTTACAGACCCTCTGAAGACGATGAGGTCTGTGAGGATGTATCCAGCTACTGCAGACCTGACCACTGCCAGTCCCCTGATCTCATACAGTACTGCAGGAAGACTTGTAACGAGTGCGGAGATGATGATGGTGGAGATGATGACGGTGACTGTCCTAGTGGCACCATCAAGTGTGACGATGGTGTCTGCAGACACGAACACATGTGTTAGACTTAGAGACGTATATAATAATCTTTACTAAATGGTTTTAAATGTTTATTTTTAATTTGTTACCCTTCAACAAATTTTAGACTGAAAATTCCATTGACGAACTTTGGTGGGCGGTGGCTGAGCTCCATTTATGGTCTACTGTAACTTCTAGTAACTTCTATTAACTTCTAGTAACTTCTAGTAACTTCTAGTAACTTCTAGTAACTTCTAGTAACTTCTAGTAACTTCTAGTAACTTCTAGTAACTTCTAGTAACTTCTAGTAACTTTTAAAATAAGCCAATACAGATCGGTAGAAACACATAGCAGTTTCTAGTCATAGATTACACTTGTGTAAGTGTCAAAGTGTAATCCATGACCAGAAATGTGGTTTTCTTTATAATTTAGGTACAAAACAATGCAAAACTCCACAGTGATTTTACTGTTTACGTGGCTGCCGGATCAGTTTCCGGTCCCAAAGCCTCCCAGTGAAACACACAGTAGCAGCTAAGTCGTAGTTGGATTGTAGCGACAAGAGATGACATACGATATTGTGTTTGTCTGTCTGTAGTACTGTAGTAATGTGTAGCAAACAGTTTGAATCAAACTGTTTGCTACACATTACTAGTTTGATACATATTACAAAGAATGTAGAAGAAATAGGTGATTGTGTAATCTGTTTTTTGAGTAGCACAATTGGCAACGATGGTTTTATTATGGTAAAATTATGTTCCTTAATATATTACATTCGTTGGTTCGTTACATGTTTGGTTCGTTGTAATTTCTCAAGAACTGTTTGCAAACATATTATAATTCTGATGGCATCTCGAGATTACAAGTACAGCAACAGCACACTTTATGGCATTGAAAGTGATGCTTTAAGGTACACTTGGGCAGGATACTTCCTATTCATCATCATCTCATCTTTGATAGGGGACACAGCCATTCTTATAGCGTCCATGAAGTACAAAGCTTTCAAATTTCATAGAGCAATCATCATCATAATCGAACACCTAGCAGTCTGTGATCTGATGGTAGTTGCTACGGACGTTGTCCCAAAACTTGTTTCTCTCATAGCAAATAAGCAGGTGCTCGGGAACTATCTTTGTTTCTTGTCTCCATACGCTAGATTCTACTTCAACCTGGCAAGCCTTTTCCTCATCTGCATTATGACATCCGTCAAACTGCTCCTCCTCAAATATCCCCTTAGATTTGGAACGACAACAGAGAAGCAAACACACATTATTTGCACGGCAAGTTGGTTGGCAGCTTTCGCTTTCCCTATCACATTTCTTATTGTAGATAGAGATGATATTTACTTTTCATACCGAACCTTTAAATGCACTTACGGTTTCTCATCAGAGATTTGGATCTTGCTGAAGCATTGCCTCGCTCTCTTCTTCGTTCACATTCCAGTCCTGCTGGTTGTAGCCACAACAGTACATTTGCTGATCATAGCCAAACAGTTTGCTCGCCGGAACCGACAAAGTCTAAAGTGGCAAGGAATCACAACTTCTGTGCTGACAGCAACAATTTACTGCATATCTGTCCTTCCAGTGACCCTGTACTACATTGGAGAAGCCATCCTAAAGGGAGAGAGCAAGATCCTCTTCCATACCCACTGCTATAGGGTAGCGAATTCCTTCGTTTTCCTGAACACCATCAGCAACTTCTACATATATAGTCTGACCGTTGACAGCTTTAGAGAGTTTGTCCGGACCAGAATGCTGCAGTGTGCTTCCATCAATGGAAATTATGCTAATCGTGGTAAGAGACTTGTCAAATCTAAGTTTAAGCGTTGATTGATTTTATTGATTTTATTTCAACTCTTTATGAATTACCATTTTTAACAGGAGATCGGAGATATGGGGTACAAACAAGCAGAACAGACATTACTGAGGGTGATCAACAAACACCGATCTAAGGACTAAGGAGCTTGTTTTGATACCACAAACTTGCACCAAGAACCCTGATTAGGCGGTAGCCGACCATGATTTTAGAATTTTTAGGGTGTGGTAATGGAATCATGATTGTGACCATTACCAAAATTTCAATTTTCAGTGCTCATTCTGGTCAGTTGAGATTTCTAATATTTGACTGTGATAATATTAATTGATAATCAATTAAAAGTTGATACGAGGGACCGTATTTAAAGTATGATTTTTTAGTCCTGTCAATGTTTCCCATAAGTTATCTATCCACATTTATTCGATGGATCTTAATAACTCAAGAGATAAAAGTAGGAGTAGTAGACGTTCTTTTAGTGTCAAGATATTTTCAATACTGTTGATTGAGTTGTGTCTTAGTGAAGTCCATCAAATGCAAAGTGTACAATCGACTTGCAGTTTTAAATTTATCCTTATACTTTTAGATTTTAGAGCAAAAGTCTACATTGTTAATTGTTATAGATAAAATATTCTCTGATTTCTGAAATTAATTTTGTTTGCAGCAAAATATGAGTATATTTTGTTAAAATACATTTTAAGACTGTCTATCGGATGATGGAGCCACTGCTTACAACTATCCAGTTCCCCGGTTGAATTTATATAGAATCCTTGTTAAGTTGTTACTTTGCTCTTTAATTTGCTGGCTAGACAAAGCATTTTGCGACAGTTCTGATTTATCAACTTAGCAATAATCTTTACTAGTGATCCAATAAATGGTGCGGAATTTATTTCAGTAAAATTGGCATTTAATAAAGAAAGTTGGACGGCGGGAGCCCAGACGGTCATGTTCGGGCCTTACCGGGCGTCATAACCACTAAGCGTAGCGATTATTTAACTTTATAAAAGTATAAATAAGTAACGCATTGCTCATAACAGTAGTTGTAGTATTACTCATCAAGGTCATATAACCGTCCATTTCAGTCGGCACCCAAATAAAACACCTCTCATGCGACAAACTCTTCGGTACAAACGTATGGATGAACTCTACACCGTGGGTGCCGGTTCGTTGGACACCACAGGATTATTAATTTCCCTATAAACAAGATGCAAAATCTGTTTTCCTTAGCAATAAGCAATACCCCCATTTAACTAGATCTCTTACACAGCTATTCCATAAGATTTAAACTCTAAAATCAGAGATTCAAGTGTAACTTCAAAAACATATTGGAGACTTTTTCCCAGCCCCCACTCCCCAGCATCATTGTTCAAAGGAGAAGGAGTCATCTTTTTAATGACACACCTCATCGGTTGTTACAATTCCGGAACTTATTTTTCCATTCTCGTATTGAGGGATTACAGTAAGGGTCAGAAATGTAAATGCCAGTGAACGTAGAATTTCGGCTCACTAAGGCTGATAGGATATTCCTTATACTGTATAATAGCACAACTGTATAATAGCACAAATTTTAAAACCACAAGGAGTACTCAAATAAAGATAGTTACAGAGTTATCGCTACTTATACTTGTGAGAATTCACTCGGCCAGACTCCAGAGAAGTTGACTCCAAGACAACGCTGATATTTATTCAGTATTGCCAGTGGGCAAGCGCCGGGATAAAACTCCTGGACAGCCTTGGATTTCAACAGCCTAGCTGGTTGGAACTGACAAATCACAGGAAGGGGTTCCTTGGAGGTAAAGGTGAGAAAGGTCAAATGATAAGTCTAAGAACTTGTCTTGAAGGAATAGACAAAAATAGATTAATGCGCAGGATCGTCAATATTCGGGCACAAGGACAAGGGAATTTGTTGGGCAGATGACGTTCTTTTAATTTTCTTATAAAGTTCTTATAAAATTCTTATAAAGTTCTTGTAGCACTGCAGTACGGCTAGAGTTGTGAACTTTATAGTTACTTTAATTGTGTTGCCACTGTAACATTATAGCCACTGTAACATTATAGAAACGCATTACGCACGTGGCATTCACAGGGTGATTCAGGGTGTATAGTTTCCGAATTTTAGTTTTCTGAGCTGTTATAACATGCTACAGTAGATCATTTTCTATTTAACATTTGCATTCTCAGCCGAATGATAGGAAACTTGATGCAGGGTTAAATGAGGAGGGGCCCTGCCAAAATGATCCGACAAAAAAGTTTAAGCACTGAGTCCAAATTTGTTTTAAATCGTTCGATCAACGACTTGACTCTGAAGGGTATTTATTTCAAATAACACAGAAGGTAAGGAACAAGGACCAATTCTAACGACGATGCATTTACCTCATTGTACAACTACTGTTCTATAAAACAGGTGTCACTGATCAATTAAGCTATTAAGGTTTCTCCACTCTTCAGTCCTTCTACATGTCATAGTAAAGTAGTAATTAGGTGGTAAACTCCTAACAATGGTTTCCCAACAGTTTTAACTTTCCTGAGGTCAAAGCTAACCTAATTTTTGTCTCGCATCACTCAATCAGTTCGTATTTTGTTGTTGTGACCATCTGTTCATATTGAGTTTTCTCCACTCTGGTAATTAGGTGGTAAACTTTGAACTAGCGGTAAGGAACTAGCGGTGAGGAGTGAAAGTAATGGTAGTTTCCCGATAGTTTAACTTTCAAAGTTACCGTTCGCGTTAGTTCATGCTCCTTATTTTTGTCTCGCATCACTCACTCGGTTTGTATAATATAGTATAATACTATGTTTTCAGTACACTAAAATGTAGATGTACTGAAGAGTGAAGGGGTGTCCTTTAAAGAATATTCTCAATGGTCTTTTGGCAGGGCCCCTCTTCATTAACCTTCAATCAAGTTTCCTATCATTCGGCTGAGTCGACCGATACATTACACAGAAGTGTATTGTGTAATTTCGCATAGATCCATGGATCCTTAGCTACTCCCCAGTCGTGTTTTGTTATTGTGACCATCTGTTCAGTTCATCTTTTGCCGGATTTGTTGCTACCTTCCGCACCGCATTCGTTGATAGTAAGGCATTCTCCGAGATAGGGAAGGTAGTTGAGTGTGGACCATATTATAGTACCCTGCCTAGATGTCAGGCCATTTCGGACATATGAGGTGGAATGAGTAGAAAAAACCTGATATGAATTATCATATCTGCACAAAATTTTATGCTGTCTGCTAAACTTGCAGGCATGCGTAGATTGCTTGTCAACGCAGCCCAGTTATGGTCTAGTTGGACACTTTGCACAAAACGTACCAACTACATTAATAATTCTTATAAACATGTTGCAGAAAATGCTTCGTAGATTCGAATCTGTTTGACAATCGCAATTCAATTTTATGTTCTTGAAGCAAACCGTCTACAGGTACAAATGTGATAAATTAGAAATAATATAGGTTTTCACAAAACAGACTTTTTGTGAAGTTGTGACTCTAAATTCAAAAATTGTCTTCTGAACCTTACCTTCGTTATTTACTCTTTCGTGTTATTTGGTAAGCCCTCGAAGGACACATAACGCACGGTTTAGATTTAGATAAATTTCATGTACAATGATTGATCTATGATACTTTGTAATTCAATACTATTATAAGTTAGGTTTCAGTGAGCATCTGGTTCCTATTTTTACAAGGATCTTTTCTTTTACTTGTGAAATATAACATGGTTAAGGGTTGAACTGGCAGGTTAAGATCTTAATTTGGAAACAAAGAGAAACGTTACGTAAGCTACGTTACGTAAGCTAATTAAGCCTTCTATGCGAAAATGAACCATCATTTGTTATCGATGATACGCCATTTGCTAACGGTCTCGTTTGTCAAATAGGATATGATTGAGGAAATGTCTACGCTTTACTCGAACAAGACCCTGTTTGGGCTGGAGAATGATGCATCAAGATACGCCTGGGTAGGATATGATCTCATACTCCTGCTGTCAACAACGATCGGGAACATCATAGTTTTAATAGCATCTATCAAGTACAAAGCCTTCAAACTGCAGAAGTCCATTATGATTATTACCCAACATGTGGCTATAAGCGATATTTTGTGGAGTTGTACATACCAAGTGCCCCAATCCCTCACACTGATCGCTGAAGAGTGGGTTCTTGGAAAAACAATGTGCAGCACTGTTCCCCATGTAATGAATTACTTTGGAATTGTTAGTATGTATCTCATTTGTACAATGACCACGTGCAAAGCGATCACACTCAAGTTCCCTTTGAGATCCAGAGCTCTCTCAACCAAATCAGCTCACAAATTGTGTGCAATAACTTGGGCCTTAGCTCTGAATTTGCCAGTTACGCAAGTTGTGCTAAAGATTGTGGGTGAGGGATACACAACATTCAGCTACATCCGTTACGAATGTGTCTATGTGTCCCATTATTGGTTATATCTAGTGATATGTGGAATCAGCATGATTACTCCAAATATCATAGTTGTCGCTGCAACTACCTATCTGATCTATAAGGCTTCCAAAGCAGCGCGGCGCAGCAGGAACACTGTAAGGTGGCAAGGGATTATGACTACCGTTATAGTTGCAGGTGTTTATTGCCTATCCATGCTACCTAACGGGGTGCTGATTCTCAAAGAACTAATCCTGGACGAACACAACCCATCCCAGAGCTCTGCAACCGAGTACAGGTTAGCAGATTGGGTGTTGCTATTGAACCCCTTCAGCAACTTCTACATCTATATTCTGACGGTGAGAAGTTTCAGGAATTTCCTCCGGTCAAGAGTGCAACACATTACAGCGAGTATTCGGAAGGATACCATGCAACTGAATACGATTGAGAGACGAGGGTGTTCTGGAAGAACTGATCTTACTAACGAACACTAAAGGAGTAAAGCAGTTACGCGGATATAGATATTTTGGATTGAACTAATCATATTTATCAATTGGATTATATTTATCAATTGAATTCTTCAAACTATTTTATGATGAATAAAATACATAATAACAGGGTTTATAATAAAGTAGGTAACTTAGCAACTAAACTAGTACTGTCACCAAACAAGACTTCTCGGCAGATGACTATGAAATGTAATAACAGTCCTTTTAGAGTTAAACTTGCAATTTCACACCGTTTCCAGGGGCAATAACAAAGGTATTATTGGTTACTCGAGAACATAAATTCCTTTTTGGACACGGAAAAAGGTATATGATTATTTAACTGAAGCCCTACAACATATTATTGTGAAACAATTTTGCGAACTCCCTTTAGTGTTAAGCTTGGCGATATCGGCAGTTTTTATGAGTATTGATGAGTATTTTTGATGAGCACCACGCCAGAATTTTTTGACATAAGCCAATTCTTGACACGCAAAGTTTTGGTAACTAAGGTATCATGTATAAGTAAAATTTGGAAATATCCTGTAATTCTCACGAGGGATTATCAGTGATGTTATTTAGAGTGCCGCTGTTCCACTCTCATTCGACAAAAACTGTATTTACTGTATGTATTACTAATAATAAATTTACCTGTGAACTATTTCTTGAGAGTGCATGTAGACCAATCCGCTGAGAATCTGATAAGTGTAATCTATAACCACGTTACTATTCAGCGGACCGGTCTTCTCTATCCTGTCGAACATACTGTCCCCCTCAACATACTCCATAAATATGAGAAATATGTTCTCTACTTGTTTGGTGGTGAAATATTTCACGATATTTGGGTGTGATAATCTCCGGTGTATCGTTATCTCGTTTTGGACGGTCTTCTTCTCCGTCTCATACTCATCTGCAATAAGTTATCTTTAGTTAATAAATATCTGATGACATTTTATTTGTAGTTTATATTCGATGACATCTTTGCTTTTTATCAGTGTAATGTTATGTCTTGACTTTGTAAATTGTATGGTAACGATCTAACGCTCTGCAAAGTTAGCACCAATTATCTCATTATAAGCTGTTTAATATGGTAATGATCGGATGATCTCCCGCTTTATATACTTAATAGTCGCTTCTAGATCACTATGACGGAAGATCTAGAATGTATCTACTTATCAAGCGGTTAAATTAAAAACATTGAATTACTGTCAACTGCAGATCTGACCACTAACCGTACTCGGAGGTAGGAATACATTTTATAGCTAGATCTAGACCGGATCCAGGATCTCTGTGATGGCAAACGCACCCGAAACTTCCCCTCCCAACATAGGACCAAAGAGTGTGATCGCATGGAAGGCTGTATCTTAGATTAGCGCCACCCACATGCACATCGATCAATACATAGTCTTCTTGCGAACTCTGAATGATGGGAAGTTAAGAAATCATGCAGCGGAGTCAAAAGACAGCCAGAATTGGAGAGTTGGAGAATATCCAAGTAATTTAAAATGCAGAGCGAATCTGGCATAGGATGGAAGGAATGTGATTCGGATCGAGAAATTTGCGTCGCAACGTCGCGTGCTCTACAAAACAAACTAGTGGGAATGTTACCGCGCGCTACGTTAATAAAATCATGAATTGTGACCGAAATGGAACAACGGCCAACATGTGGCGTAGTCTTATAAACAACTGAGACTGTCGAACCTTTGTTTTACTTAACAATAATTTAGGGTATTTTTAATAACATATTCGAATTATGATCGTTCAAATCGATCTGAGTTTATCACATCTCACTAAAGATACAATATCCTTGGTTTCAGCTTATTTTAGACTTAGAAGTTAGTTTAGAAGTTAGCGATCATTTATGTCAAGTTGTAGAATGTAGTGTAAGTTCTTTCCGATCGCCTTCTAGTCGCAATAATGTGAGCAGTGTAAAACCGAGAATTTCTACTGAGCCATAACTCCGCTTCCCAACAACCGATTTGGAGAATTAATACAGGATCATATGGAGAAAATTCTGGACTTTAGTTGCTCTGTCAAAGTATCGCCGGATCTACCCTTGCAGTAGTAATAAATCTTTCAGAAGATTCAACTACTAACAATACCTCGAAAATCATTGTGCTGTATCTCTCAGATCACTGCAAAAAAGTTCATATTTTGATGCTAGAATAATTAGACATTTCCGCATATTTTCTTAATTTAGGTAAATTCTTACCTTAAGGAGCTATTGTATTTGAGCATTTTGTATTTGCAGATCAGATGCTAATTGAGTTGTCAGGTGATGTGAGCAAAGTTGACACTACCAGGGACTCTCAGGGCTCAGATGACCGAACGTGATCCGATGATATGGTACAGTGAGACGTGGTAATAACAGTGTCAAGCAGGATCACGTAGCCGAGTACGGTATAGTGGGCTCAGATCACTACACATATGGCAGGAGATAACAAGCTCAGACATTGAGAAAATAGTATATAAACCTAACAAAATCATTGTAGAATCATTCAGTCCTATCTTTTTCTTTAAAACTATCTGAACAATCACTACACCAATAATCCTCATGGAATCCTTTACTAGTTCCTCCACATCTACCTTCCCATGTGAGATCCTCACCACACTACCTTCGAGACAGACCTTCTTCAGCGTGCAACCTTCCTCTCTTCAATTGATACCATCATCTCTCCCTCCTGTTTCTGGTCCACTGTGTACCTTATCAGAACCTCAGCCATCAACTGAAACTTCATTCAGACAGTACGCCACTAAACTTGGTTACCCTGACAACCTGATAACCAGAGTCCTAAACAACCTTGGACCCGACTCTGAGACTGAGGACCTTCTTTCCCACCTAATCAGTCTTCATGACATGCTCTGTCCTACAGATTCTACCGTCCGTCGACGAAGAGATGCCACTGACCTTCCTCCATACATGCTGGCACAAGATTCATACTACAAAGGGAAAGAGAGGATGCCATTCTGGGTTTGGGTGAAACGTGAAACTATCGGTATCAACGTAGCATCTAATCCTCCTCATCAACGAACTAGAACCAGATCCTCTTCAACCAGATCCTCTTCAACAGCTAACACCTCCGCCACTCAATGAGCACCTCTTCCCTCAAAATTTCAGCTTGCAGAAAAGCAACCAGATTTATGTATCTTAGCTGTATCAGTGATTCTACATTTTAATTATTATTGTACAATTGATATAATCATTAATCATACTGTAAAAACTTCTGCTTTAATTTGATCTACCACCAAATCATCTTTATTGAATCGAAGTCCATACTTGCAACAGCCTCATGGTCTGCATTGTCGGGATACTATCTGTTATCAGTTTTTTTTTCCTACCCTCTTTATACATCTAGAAAGTGTTCCATTGTTTGCGTCACACACATACACATAGTTCACACATCCTTACAATGACTATACGAACAGAAAACTAGCTGTACAAAACTTAAGTCTACCTTTATCTTAACCTTGAATATTAATTGTGATTTTATTCGGTTTAAGATTACATAAACCGGTACTCCAAAATCAGGGCAAAGCTGTAAACCTTACGCAACTTTCACAGCACCATCGCATCAGTAAACTTCAAATCACAGCGTACAACTTGCTTGAGACAGCTAGCTGCTAGAGGCTGTATGGACTATGTCAAGTGCGATTATCGACACTATTTGATCATACATGAGAACATTTGGCAGCGCAAGAGCGTGGATATGTTTTGCAAAACAATAAGTATTCGCTTCTGACGTCGCGGAGCGGCTAACTTATACTTTTGTAGCATGTGAAATACGACACTTGTATAATTTAGAAGATTTGCTATACTATCAATTATGAAGGTGTGTGGGAGCGTGAGGGAGGTGGAATTTAACCACTTTGAGTGAATAAGTTATAAATGATAAAACACTGAATGTTAAGTATTTAACGATAAAAGTTTACATACCTGGATAACTGAGTCTATAGGCGCTAGGGGAGCTTGTATATCCATGATCCTGCGAAATTTGATTTATCGTTAACATTGTAGGTGCAATGGTGTAAGGTGTATTTTGAGCCTTAGCAACCGTATTTTAGGGAATAAAATTGATTTAAAACTCTATTTTGGTCGTACATAATGTCGAGGTTTCGAATTTGTGACCAACACAGTTTCTCAGAAACTCATTTTCTCCTTAAATTTTAGTTTGGACTAATATTGGGAGAGTGTCCTCACAATTTTGCCATTTATTTATGGAATTTCGCAAATAAATGGCAAAATGGTAAATTGTTCATCTTAATGGCAAACAAATTCTCGTCCTTCTCGCCAGCAGTGAATTTCACATATTATTATAGTTAATGAAAGTGTGGCTTTTTCGCAATCACGAGAGAAATTTGTTAGCAATTATTGCAATAAATGGCGAGAAGGGCGAAAATATTCGACATTTATTTCATGACGGCTATGGTGAAAACTATCAATGGTAATGAAACCTCCCATTTTTGAGAAATTAATTTGAATCAGGAATTTCAGACACACCAAATGAAACTAGACGTAGAATTCAAATGTACATTATTTACATGAGTCATATATTACATAAATAAACTATTTCTGAAAGATAAAATCTGAAAATCTGAGTATGACAATCATGGAAGTTATGTACATTTTATCAAAATAAAATCTCTGAGTCTCACTAAGACAAGTGATACAAAACAAGTGTCTTTTTGTTGGAGCAGCTATTTTAAATGTAGTAACAAAATGTTAATAACCTACCCTAGTTTGATGGTAAACATGAGAAAATGTTGTCTGCTGCAAGCATAACAAATTATTTTTATAGACGCTAGAATTAAACTTCGGCATCATAATAATATGAGCTTTTCAGTGCAATTGAGCAGTCATTTCAATAGGAGAATGGAGGAACTATTCAAATTCTTGAACAAAGGCCAGAATCTAGCTGAGTTAAACTTTTTCAATACTACTTTATCGGCCGATCAATAAAAACACATGCTCCGACTACGGTATTAGCATAATAATTATTCATTCATAACATATCTCATAAATTTATTGTACTTGCAAATCTTTTTGCGACAAGCATACCAACCGTTTACATATTACATACAGGTAAAGCGTATACACAGTAATTAAGCGTAAAGCCAGCAACCAGCGTTCAGCATATAAAACCAAACTATTCACAATTTGTACGTGTTTTTATAAATAAATTAGAGCGCAACCCAATGCTATATAATATTATTATACAATTCAATATATTTAATGCGTAGTATCATACTTGTTATGTTGTACAATACATTCTTGTGAATAGAATATAACGTTTAAATAAGTAAATAACGAAGCTTCATTGGTTTCGAGACATCACTAATGTCGACAGATTTTAAAAGCTACAATAATTTAAGCAACGACTTTCACATTTGTCATTTTTTGGTGAGTGAACATTTTTGAAAGGGTCGTTTTAAATTTTTATCTATCTAATTTTTACTGCTCTATTGAATTGGCATTTGCATAAAAGTTCGTTAAAAAATCATTAAGAAGTATTTAAATAGCAAATAGCTCTGACTGCCTATCTAAATAAAATTGCCAATGGGTCAATGACCTCATGAGACATACAAAACGAATCTGAAAGAAAAACAGTTCATATTACACTGTACAGTTCATTTGTCATCCTGAATTTTATTCGGATTTTCAGGCTGCAAAATGTCCATTCTGTTTGGAGCCACAGGGTTAAGCTTTTTCTTGTACCAAGGATTTGGATCCGGAGGTAATTGTCGTCCCGGTAAACTTGGCATGGGTCCAAGAAGGGGGTTACCTCTAAGAGAATTACCATCAGGCACAGAGTGGATCAACTCCAGGGTTTGTTCTATCACAACTTGATCTCCTTTCTTCAGAGGAATGTTTTCAATTTTACTGTATCTTGGCGATATCTTCATGTCTAGTTGGTCGTCATATCCAGCAAGGTTGGTTGATGAAAGCTGCATGACCCCCGAATCCTCCCGACTCAAGCTATCGTTAGAAGGGAGTTGGTCTATGTTGCTACCCCTGGCTGTTCCAGGTCTCTCTGGTGGCATCTCCTTCTCCTCTACACCATCTCTCTCGTGGTGGGAATGTCCATTAGTCAAGCTCTTCTCCTCCTCCCTGGGAGGTGGTGGGCGGGGTGGGATGATGTTTAGTTTCCATGGTATTGGAGGGCCCTCCTGTTGGGGAGGCTCCACAGGAACAGGCGAGGAGGGCCGTTTGTTCCTCTTGCCTCGTGACGAAGCTGGACGTTGAGGAAACACAGCTGGCTGTTCAGCACGGCCAGTTATTTTGTCCCTTATGTCCGTCAGTTCTCGTAAACGTGATGGTTTCTGTGACACCTGCTCCAGCTCTTTGTCTTTGTGTCGTAGCAAGCCAGGAGTTATAGTGGAGAGGTTAGCTGGTGGTTGGATCCTCAGTCTGGCAGCTGGACTGCTCTTACTCAGTGAGGAACTGTTGTTGTGAATGATAACCCTACGATCAGCCGGGTGATGGTTGAGAGAAGCACTTGGTTTGAAGGAAACATTGCTCTGTCTCTTGTTTGTGATTGCTGCGACTGAGGAAGACTTCACATTGCCTCCCATTTTGGGAGTCTGTGGTCTTGGGTTTGAAAAGTGTTTCTGTTCTAATTCACCGTTCTGATGATAAGCTGAGATGACTATAGAACAGTAATGAAGCTGTTTGATCTGAGCGATACTGTGGGGTGTCAAACCTTGGTTATCTGGTGACGTAGTGCTGCCACCGTGCTCCAGCAGATAGTTTGTTACTCCACTGTGTGCGTTGTTCACAGCATGGTGAACTGGAGTCTTGCCTTCACAATCTGGTGTAATCAAGGACTTCAGATCGAATTGCTCATCAATAATTTTACAAACTTCTAGTGTACCCTGCAGAGCCGCGTGGTGAAGAATATTCCGCTCAAATTTGTCGTTCTGATTCACTGTTTCTGAATTGAGCAGTAGTTTCACGACATCTATGTGTTTAACACCAATCTGTAGCAAGCTTTGACCTTTACTATCTGTTGTAAGTGCTAATTTAGGTCCTATGGGAGAAGACAGAAGGATTTTGAGAGCAGTTGCATTGCCCAATTTAGCGGCCCACATTATGGGAGTGTCACACTCATTGTCAGCAATGTTTGTCTCCACGTTGTATTTTACAAAAAGCTGCAAACAAGCGCTGTCTTGAGCATGAACTGCCCAGTGGGCAGGGGTACGTCCCTCAATATCACGCAAACTAGCATCAGCCTTCAAATTAAGCAAATCATCAGTTACAATAGGATTCTCGTTAATAACAGCTCTGTGGAGAGCTGTACTTCCGTCATGAGCTTGGTGGTTGACATCACAACCGTTGTTAGCAAAGAACTTGACATAGTGCTCCAAGTCTGCTACTCCAGCACAGTAATGTAGTGGTCCTCTGCCCAGGGAATCTACCTCACCGTTGTAGTTCTTACTCTCGATATACTTCTGGCACCGCTCCCCATCCCCCACAGACAGCAGCTCAAAGAGTTCTGTGAGCTTTTCTTTCTGTACTCCAGCCCCGTACAAACTGTTAGCTAAATACTGTGGTCTGTTGTACTCCGGGTTACGCAGGTCGTACCACTGCCACGTGAACTTGTCTGGCTTTCCTCTGTCTTGCTTCTTTTTCAGGATCTTCCAAAACGTTTGCATTTGCAGCAGAGTGAGGTTGAGAGCATCTCGGAGTTTGGCAGCATCCACATCTTGTAAAATCTTAGCTTGGAATTCCTGAATTACAGAAGAGATTTTCTGTAAGTCCTTCTTCTTCACTTGAGGGCCACTTTGCGACATATCACGTACAATTTCGACTCAGATGGTTGAAATCCATTCCATTAACTGAAAATGTTTGATTAAAAAATGTTTGAATAAAAACTGTCATCAAATTGTTTCAAAATTGAACGTATTCGAAGTTATGGGCAATATTGAAAGAGGCTGAAATTTATCATGACAAATTAAATTGTATAAAATCATGAATAACAGCGTTGTTGGTTAATTGAAATAAATTCATTTGAAATCTAATACAGGGGGGGGGGGGGGTGTCACGTCCGTCTATGTCCGCTTGTCTCATAGAATCCAAAAAGGACAGGACATAGGCGGACATAGGCGGACATAGGCGGACATAGACGGACATTGGCGGACATTGGCGGACATAGACGGACATTAGCGGACATTAATGGACACCTAAATTGCAAAATAAAATGTTCAACTTTTGCTGTTATAGGGGGATCATGTTTTTTGTCCGTTCGGTACCCTATATTTTCAAAACGGACAAAAAATAGAGCGGACAAAAACGGACAAAAACGGACAAAAATGGAAATAACATTTAGATGCTTCCTCCTCCTACTCTTCCTCCTCCTCCTGGGTCTTCCTTAGTCCTCTTCCTCCTCCCCTCCTCAGTCCTCCTCCTACTCCTCCTCCTCGTCCTCCTCGTCCTCAGTCCTCCTTATCAGTCCTCAACAGTCCTCCTCCTCCCCAGTCCTCCTCCTCCTCAGTCCTCCTCCTGGGTCCTCCTCCTCCTCTTCATCCTCCTCCTCTTCCTCCTCAGTCCTCAGTCCTCCTCCTCATCCTTCTCCTCAGTCCTCCATCCTCCTCCTCAGTCCTCCCCCAGTCCCCCTCCTCCTCCTCCTATTCAGTCCTCCTCCTCCTCCTTCTCCTCCTCCTCAGTCCTCCTCTTCCTCTTCCCTCTCAGTCATCTTCCTCAGCCATCCTCCTCGGTCCTCCTCCTCAGTCCTCCTCTTCCTCTTCCTCTTCATCCTCCTCCTCTTCATCCTCCTCCTCTTCCTCCTCGGTCCTCAGTCCTCCTCCTCAGTCCTCCTCATCTGCATCCTTCTCATCAGTCCTCCTCCTCCTCAGTCCTCTCCCAGTCCCCCTCCTTCTCCTCCTCCTATTCAGTCCTCCTCCTCCTCCTCCTCCTCCTCAGTTCTCCTCAGTCCTCCTTCTCATTTCTCCTAAGTCCTCCTCCTGAGTCCTCCTCCTCCTCTTCCTCCTGAGTCCTCCTCCTAAGTCCTCCTCCTCCTCCTTCTCAGTCATCCTCCTCAGCCATCCTCCTCAGCTATCCTCCTCAGCCATCCTCCTCAGTACTCCTCAGTCCTCCTCCTTCTCAGTCATCGTCAGTCCTCCTCCTCAGTCCTCCTCCTCCTCCTGGGTCCTCCTCCTCCTCCTGGGTCCTCCTCCTCCTCCTGGGTCCTCCTCCTGGGTCTTCCTGATCCTCCCCAGTCCTCTTCCTCCTCCCCTCCTCAGTCCTCCTCCACCGTTCGGTACCCTATATTTTCAAAACGGACAAAAAATAGAGCGGACAAAAACGGACAAAAATGGAAATTACATTTAGATGCTTCCTCCTCCTACTCTTCCTCCTCCTCCTGGGTCTTTCTGATCTTCCTCAGTCCTCTTCCTCCTCCCCTCCTCAGTCCTCCTCCTACTCCTCCTCCTCGTCCTCAGTCCTCCTCATCAGTCCTCAACAGTCCTCCTCCTCCCCAGTCCTCCTCCTCCTCCTGAGTCCTCCTCCTGGGTCAGGGACAAAAGGATTTCGCGGTAATTTTGGCCAAAAATCGCGATACCGCGAATTACATTTTTTTGTCCCTGTCCTGGGTCCTCCTCCTGGGTCCTCCTCCTCCTCTTCATCCTCCTCCTCTTCCTCCTCAGTCCTCAGTCCTCCTCTGTCCTCCTCCTCATCCTTCTCCTCAGTCCTCTATCCTTCTCCTCAGTCCTCTATCCTCATCCTCAGTCCTCCTCCAGTCCCCCCTCCTCCTCCTATTCAGTCCTCCTCCTCCTCCTCCTCCTCCTCCTCCTCCTCCTCCTCCTCCTCCTCCTCCTCCTCCTCCTCTTCCCTCTCAGTCATCCTCCTCAGCCATCCTCCTCAGTCCTCCTCAGTCCTCCTCCTCAGTCCTCCTCCTCCTGGGTCCTCCTCCTCCTGGGTCTTCCTCCTCCTCTTCATCCTCCTCCTCTTCCCCCTCGGTCCTCAGTCCTCCTCCTCAGTCCTCCTCCTCATCCTTCTCATCAGTCCTCCTCCTCCTCAGTCCTCTCCCAGTCCCCCTCCTTCTCCTCCTCCTATTCAGTCCTCCTCCTCAGTTCTCCTCAGTCCTCCTTCTCATTTCTCCTAAGTCCTCCTCCTGAGTCCTCCTCCTCCTCTTCCTCCAGAGTCCTCCTCCTGAGTCCTCCTCCCTCTCAGTCATCCTCCTCAGCCATCCTCCTCAGCCATCCTCCTCAGTACTCCTCAGTCCTCCTCCTTCTCAGTCATCGTCAGTCATCCTCCTCAGCCATCCTCCTCAGTCCTCCTCCTCAGTACTCCTCAGTCCTCCTCCTTCTCAGTCATCGTCAGTCCTCCTCCTCCTCCTCCTTCTGGGTCCTCCTCCTGGGTCTTCCTGATCCTCCCCAGTCCTCTTCCTCCTCCCCTCCTTAGTCCTCCTCCTACTCCTCCTCCTCGTCCTCAGTTTTCTTTATAAGTCCTCAACAGTCCTCCTCCTCCCCAGTCCTCCTCCTCCTCCTTGGGCCTTTTCCTGGGTCCTCCTCCTCCTTGGTCCTCCTTCTCCTCCTCAGTCCTTCTCCTCCTCCTCCTCAGTCCTCTTCCTCCTCTTCCTCCTCCTCCTCCCTCTCAGTCATCCTCCTCAGCCATCCTCCTCAGCCATCCTCCTCAGCCATCCTCCTCAGTCCTCCTTCTCAGTCCTCCTCAGTCCTCCTCCTGAGTCCTCCTCCTCCTGAGTCATCCTCCTCAGTTCTCCTCCTCCTCCTCCTAGGTCCTCCTTCTGGGTCCTCCTCCTCCTCCTCCTCCTGGGTCTTGCTGATCCTCCTCCCTCTCAGTCATCCTCCTCAGTCATCCTCCTCAGCCATCCTCCTCAGCCATCCTCCTCAGCCATCCTCCTCAGTACTCTTCAGTACTCTTCAGTCCTCCTCCTTCTCAGTCCTCCTGAGTCCTCCTCCTCCTGAGCTAATATCCACCAATGTCCGTCCGAGTCCGCCAATGTCCATCCGGGTCCGCAAATGTCCGTCCGAGTCCGCCAATGTCCGTCCGAGTCCGCCAATGTCCGTCCGTGTCCGTCCGTGTCCCAAAAAACACGTCCGTTGTCTCATAGAATCCAAAAAGGACAGGACATAGGCGGACATAGACGGACATGACACCCCCCCCCCCCCCCCCAATACAATTAACATGATGAAAACAAAAGATCGGTTCTTTATTAAAAACAAAAATCTATCAAGTCGCTACTGTATATATCAGGAATAAATATAACATGTAGAATTATTGCATAAGGCAGTTGCCAGCTGTTAATAGCAGACAGTATAAAATAGTTATCATGATTTAAGTCAATATTAAACGTACGTTTTCTCTTCATTTTAAAAGAATTAAAAATTTGAACACAAATCTCACACAAATCCCACAAAACAGCTAAATAATTTGGTTCAAAAATTATGTATTAATATCAGATTTAGCGGTCACGAGATCTACAGTTTCTGAACAATTTTATTAGCGATGAGGGCCTGTTTTTTCTCCTTCCTGCAACGGTAGTATCGAACAATTGACCAGGTTCCAAGACAGGTGGCACTGAATCTGATCGGGAAGAGTGATTTGAACAGACCCAGAGTTACAATGAAGTTGAGTCCTGGTGCAGCATATATAGCGTCAGGTGACTTGAATGTCTCTAACACACCTTCTATTTCACCAAACCTGAAAAATAATTTTAAAGTCTTACTTTAAGAAAATATATACCAACAGCAAGATTTTAAATGCGAGGTTCAAATTATAGCCTAACTCAACTGCATGATCGATTTGATTCTTAGCTAAATTTATTAAAATTAAAGTCTCAAATCTAGAAAAATAATAAGTGGTTTAAAATCAGAGACTTCTAAAGTAGTTAGCTCGTTCTATAGTTCACACTCACTTGGTGACGATAAGATAACAGCTTCCAAACATAAGAGCAGATGTGGAGAGGTGGAAAAGGGTTCCAACAATACCATACTCCAAAATACTTTTCCTAACTCTCTTTACACGACCTATCTTGGCAGGACTTTTAGCAACATCTTTTTTGGAAGAGTATGGGGCAATCTGTTGGTACTGTGTCTCAAAACTAACTGATTTTCTGTTTGAACACTCTTTGAAATGGAAACATGTGTAGTAACGAGCGGCAACTAAGGAGCAGTAAGATAGAGACACTTTACTTAATATCATGTTCTTTCCATGGTACCTTGTCTGCAATTTGGGAGTAGGGTGATGTTATTATATCGATCTTTACATCTTTTTTTAAAGGACCCGAGAGCCACCTATAAGGGCTTTGGAACCGGTTTATTGAATACAATATAATATAAAGATAAACTGCAATAATATCATAACATTCGTGTCGATACTAACTGAAATGATATAATCTGTAGATAAAGTAATAATACTACTACGGGTCACATTATTAAGATATATAATGATATAATAAAATGAATATCTCTTTTATTTCCACTCTCATTCACACACCAAGCTTTAATTCATTAATTCACACACCAAACTTTAAATTTCATCAAAACACAAATGTTCTAATATCTTAATATTACGTCAACTATGTGACATTAAATTTTGTACATGATACCCAATACCCATGTATCTATTCATCCTAGCCCTAACGGCATGTATGTGTTTGCTCCACGTTAATTTTTGGTCGACATAGCAATCTTCAAATTCAATGAAACAAGAAATTTCAATGAAACAAGAAATTTAACCCATCACATCACCTCTGCAATAAAACCAGTTGGTATGTCACCTAGAAACTGAGGGAATTCCTTGAGTAGATAACTCATGGAGGGAATTCATCATGACCATTGATCATTGACCCACAAATGTTTAATGTTATTCAGTACAT